AGAAAGAGAGAGAAAGACAAGGAGAGAGAGAGAGAGAGAGAGAGAGAGAGAGAGAGAGAGAGAGAGAGAGAGAGAAAGGAAAGAGAGAAAGGAAGGAAGGAAGAAGAAAAGAAAAAAGAAAAGAAATTACTTTTGCTAAAGCCTGGCATTCAGTCATTGCCCTAAACCTGCAGTCACCTGATATTTAAGGAACATCAAGGCATTAGGGCTGATGGATAAACACATCTTTGTCATTTAAAGCAAAAATTACTTACAAGTAACAGGGAGACGCCCAGCAGGACAATACCCACTCAAAGGAAGGAGGGCTGTCCCTGATGCTGTCTAGGCTGCACCCAGGTGTGCTCCCCTGGGAACTAGTTCGCCTCCTTAGATGACCACAGTGATGTCTCGAACAGACTCGGAAGTGAGACAGTGTAGCTCAGCCCTCACTGTGGTTAAGACTGCTAGATTTTGCAGCTTCTCTTCCCCTGCTCCAGTTTTTCCTCAATTTAAATCTAAAGTTCATGTCAAATCTCTGAATATGAACTTGGGATAACTGAGCCCTTTTATCTGGGCCACTGCACAACACACCACACTGGCTACATCTGTTTCCATTCCTTGTTGCCATTAATGCTCGTGTGTTATTCATGCAGGATGTATGTGCATGTAAGTACGTGTGCATATGTGCATGTGTGTGTACATGGACACATGTATGGAGCCCAGAGGTCACCCCAGGTGTCTTCCTTGATCATGCTCTACCTGGTGGACTTTTGCTCACCAGTGAACTCCAAGAATTTGCCTGTCTCTCACCCACAGCCCTGGGGTTACAGACACACTCCAAGCCAGGCTTTTATTGAGTGAGGACCATCCTCAAGCTTGGCTGGCAGGCACTTTACTGAGCCATCTCAGCCTCAACTAGTTATCCCTTTAATTGGCATATTGTGGTTATTGTGATGGTGGCTTAGACTACATTGTTGAGGTCCTGGGCTGGGTAAAAATTCCCAGCATTCTTAAGTTGATAACAACATAGCAAAAAGAAGCAAACCTAAGCTCAATCCTAAGGAATTGGCATATAGCTGGACTAGGACACAGCCTCAAGATGGAATGAGTGAGCATCCGGGTGACTTCCCTTGTGAAGTGTGCCCACCTCTTCATACCCATATCCACCCCTTCGTAACAGTCCCTTGCTTGACCTTGCCAAATTTCATGGTCCACATCGCTTTCTGTAGTCCCAGCTCCTGCCTAGCCAGATCAAAATCTGGAGCTGGGCAGGGGTGACAGTGAGTCCTTCCACATCCACCATTAACTAAGCTGAGTTTCTCTGCTCTGGTGGCTAAACATACCAGGAAGTCACAGGGTGAACCTGGTCTCAGGTGGAGAACAGGAAACAGCAGTAAAGCTATGGTCTTGAGGGGGAGGCAAGAAGGGGGACAGAAGGTTCTGCATTGTTTTCTTGGCCTTCCACAAGGAAGCCCCATAGACAGAGCACAGACAAGGACGACCAGCACCTATTAAACAAGATTTATGTTGGCTCTGTGCTCTCTAGTCAGGAAGCCTGAGATGGCGGGACCACAAACTGGCTTCTTCTGAGGTCTTGCCTTAACTTGCTGATGGCTGTCTATCCTTTTGTCTCTCCTGTGTATGACTGGGTCTAGCCCCAACTCACCTTGAAACAGGTTCTTCGTTTATTGCTCAAACTGGTTTCAAACTCCTCGGCTCTGGTAATCCTCTGGCCTCAACTTTCCAAGTTGCCGGAATCACTAGTACATCCAGGAGCATTTAGCTTCAGGGTACTAAACCATCTAAACCTTCACTGGTCCTATATCCAAACATCATTAGTTAGCAAAGCGCTGGGGGCTAGGACATACAAATTAGAGCAGAGGGGAAATCTGGCTCATAAGAGGACTTTAATTTGCAGTGTAGGTTGGAAAAAGTAAAATCCAGGGCTGGAGAGATGGCTCAGCTGTTAAGAGAACTGACTGCTCCTCCAGAGGACCTGGGTTTGATTTCCAACATCCATAGGGATATCTCACAACTGTATCCAACTCCAGTTCTAGGGAATCTGGCATCCTCTCCTAGTCTCTGCCAATACCGGGCTTACATGTGGTACAGGCATACATGCAGGCAAAACACTCATACCATAGAAGAATAAATGAATAATAGATATATTTTAAATCCAGACATGGTGGTATACATCTGTAATCTAATCCCAGCACTAGAAGCTGAGGTAAGGGGAATGTCATAAGTTTGAATGTAGCTTGGCTACAAAACGAGCCAGCTTTTGGCAGAACATCTACACACATACAATGATAAAATAATCTTTTAAAGATTTATTTATTTTGTTTTGTGTGTATGAGCACACTGTTGTTCTCATCAGACACACCAGAAGAGGGCATCAGATCCCATTACAGATGGTTGTGAGCCACCATGTGTTTGCTAGGAATTGAACTCAGGACCTCAGGAAGAGCAGTCAGTGTTCTTAACTGCTGAGCCATCTCTCCAGCCCCAATAAATTTTTTTTTTTTTTTAAATAAGCTCAGGGTCATTCTCAGCTACGAAGCAAGTTTGGAGCCAACCTGAATTATAAAACAAAACCAACAGCAACAAAAGCAAGACTTGGGAGTTTCACTGGGCCTAATGGCACAAGCCTACATAAATCCCTCAGAAGTATACTACGAAAGGTCTGGAGCACCTGCTGCTCTTCCAGAGGCCCCCCAGTCCCGGCAACCATCTATAATGAGTTCTGACGCCCTCGTTTGGTCTGCAGGTGTACATGTGGACAGAGCTGTCATATTCATAAAATAAATAAATCTTTAAAAAATAAAAAGCTAGCCGAGCAGTGGTGGCGCACGCCTTTAATCCCAGCACTTGGGAGGCAGAGGCAGGCAGATTTTTGAGTTCGAGGCCAGCCTGGTCTACAGAGTGAGTTCCAGGACAGCCAAGGCTACACAGAGAAACCCTGTCTTGAAAAATCAAAAATAAACAAACAAACAAATAAATAAAAAGCTTTCGGTCAGTCTAGGCTACACAGCAAGATCATCTGTCTCAATCAAAGCAGTGAACTAAGGCTTCCCAGTCTCTTGCTGCCATTTGTACTCTAACTTTGCATCTTCAAACCAGATGTTATACTGATTTTATAAGCTCAAAGCTGTAGGACCTTGAAAGACAGACTGATTTCTAGTTGAGCTAGGTTTGAAACCCTGTCACCCAGCAGGTGATCCCACAGGGTTCCCTGCAAGGGACTGTAGGTGTTTGCCACACTCCCAGACTCCAGGTTCCTGACCCAAGGCTGCAGACCTCCATAGATTTGAGTCTTTCAGCTAGGAGCCTCAAGTCAGATCTCCATATTAATGAGGTACCTAAAGGCCAGAGGGGCGTAGCCAATTAAAGATTCCTTCCCAGACCCCCCTCCTTACAAATGATATTTAACCTCAGGCTTGCTCTGAGGAAACTGGGGTATAGTTTTCATCTACTTTCCACCATGACAATGAACATCGTAAAACTATGGACTGTTTCTCTTCTTCGAAATAGGCCATGGGGAACAGTGGAGCAGGCCTTCATGCTGCTGCCTAATCTCCCGCAGAAGACCTCTCTGTGTTCCCAGCTATGGAGACCACCAACCCAGGCAAACAAGCCAAGCCAGCCATGACCAAGCCAAGAGAGCTGAGCAGCGGCAACCAAGAGCTCTCATCCCCAAGGGACCCATCCAGAGCACTTTCTCCGCTTCTCCCCTTTGGCTATGGGCCAATCCAGCCCATACACCCCTACTTCATTCTCAGCCCTTCCACTGCCCCCCCCCCCAGCAGTGCCTGGGGGCCCAAGAGCCTGAGAGCTAGCTGGTGCTTTGCATATTATAACTTTTTTTTTTTAAATTGAGGTGAAATTCAAGCAGACTCAAATTTTTAGCAATCTTCCTGCCTCAACCTCCCAAATACTAGGGTCACAAATGCGGGCCACCAGAATCTTTGTTGCACACCTGTTGTGTGTTGGACACAGTTTTGAGGGTTGGGGATTCAACAGTGGACAGAACTAAAAGTTTGCAATGTGTTCCAGCAAAGACAGCCAGACGGCTGAGGAAAACAACTGGATCCTGTATGTTAAACTGCAAGAAGGACTAGGGAGAAAATACAGGCAGGAAAGAGCGTAGGCAGATGCAGTTAAGGAAGTCCCGGCTGATAAGGAGGATGAGGGAGGAAACACTGCAGCAGGATGCTTCCACAGACTCAGGATGCAGCTAATTGGCGGAGCGATTGACTGGTGTTCATGAGACACTGAGATTAAACCCCAGAAATACACACACGCACACGCACGTGCACACACACACACATGGAAGTGCTCAGCATGTTGGAGGAACAGTAGGTACACAGGAAGAGTATGAAGGAGGTATCAGGCATCAGTGAGCCTGGTGCTGCTCCTTCCTTCCTTCCTTCCTTCCTTCCTTCCTTCCTTCCTTCCTTCCTTCCTTCCTTTCCTCAATTTATTCTTTTGGTTTTTGTCTCACAACAGCTTAAATCAGGCTGATGGCTTTTTTTTTTTGAGAAGTTACAAACAGGTGTAGTGGTACATACTTTTAACTCCAGGGCCCAGAAGGCAGAGGCAAGCAGATTTCTGTGAGTTTGAAGCCAGCCTGGTCTACAGAGTGAGACCCTGTCTCAAGAAGGAGAAGAGGAGGAAGGAAAAGAAATGAAGTTGCTAGGCAGTCACCACCATCTGGACATGGTGTAACTTATGGACCTAGCCATAGGGTGTGGCTTTATCTTTCCCCTTTCTAAAGGTATGTGAGGTAGGAAAGGATACCCTGGAAGAGGCTGGTGTCACTGAAGGACCGATGGATGAGAGCGAGCAGGCTTTCGTTCCATTTCAATGGGAGAGGAGGACTCTCTCGCTAGGTATTTTTACTTTTTTCTCTTAAAGATTTTATTTTTGTTTTTCTGTGTGTGTATGGTGTGTGTGTGTGTGTGTGTGTGTGTGTGTGTGTGTGTTGACAACTCAAGTGCCTTCACAGGCCAGCAGAGGGTGCTGGATTCCCAGGAGCTAGAGCTGTGGGCTGTTGGGGGCCATCCAGTGTAGTGCTGAGAACTGGGCTACCACCCTTAACCTCTGAGCCATCTCTCCAGTCTGTCCCCAGTCTTATTATATTTTTCAGAAGGCCAAGGGTGACTTGGAACCTGCCTCTACCTCCCAAGTGAAAGAATTACAGGTGTGCACCACCACAGCCAGTTTGTACGGAGCCAGGGATTGAACTCAGTCTTCAGAGCATCAGGGTATGGGGCATTGGGCTTCACACACCAGGTAGGCAAGCACTCTACCTACTGAGCTACAGCCCAGCCCTCAAAACGAATACTAACATACCCTCTTCTTTTTCTCCTTCTGTACGAGGGCTTGAGCTTAGGTACTCCATGTGCTATACAAGCACACTGCCACTGAGCTACATTCTTAGCCCCAGACCTGCCTTTAACAGTTGCAAAGCCCAGGGCAAGCACAGACATAGGGACCACGCACCATATGTGCGAATATTAAATGTTAGAAATTAAATTGACAGAGTGTTAAGTAAAATACATACCAATCGCCTACCTTGACAAATATATCTGCACTCCAATCTGCCAGACCAGATTTCAGTTTCAAATTTTAAAGCCATGGGGGTTCTGTGCCATCCCACAGCCTGTCCCCTCCTCTTCTTGTTCCCAACTTAGTCTGAAATGGTCCCTTGAGGGCACAGGTTTGGAAACTTTGAGCTGCTTTTCCAGGTTCTACCCATGTTGACCTTGGCCTGGAGGTGCCCAGGAAGGTGGACAAAGGGAGGAGGCCCACATGGTTTCTCCAAGCAGGCCAACATCGTTTGCATAAGAAATGAAAAGGTCCAGGTACTAAGACTGTGGGTTAGAAAAAGCATAGGACAGCCTCTGGTGGACAAGAGCTTAGACTACAGCATCTCTGTCCCTTCACGGAGGTCACTGCAGCAAAGGCTGAGCCAGATCCTGTGAAACACAAGACCCACATCAGGGACTCCTTTGGCCCAAATCTAAAGCTAATGCTGATGAAACATGGGTGCAGCCTGCCTGCCTTGGGGAACATACAGACAGCAGGATTGGACAGCACCAAGAGAAACATCCAGGACAGCAGCCCACTGGGGAACCCAGGCTGTGCAGCTAGCAGGGAGCCACAAAGCCACAAATGCTACCCAAAGTAACCGAGCCAAAGGATGGAAACCTGATCCTCACAAAGACATACTCAGACCTCACTCCTCTCAGTTGCTGAGACCACAGGGAGAAAGTGCAAGCAAGGAAGCCAGCACAGACCACGAAACACCATCCATCTTGTGGAGCCTCTTGTGTTCTGCAAGAAGCCATAGAGCAGGCCAGAGGCTCAGTGGCAGGGAGTATGCTGAACACATGTAAGATCCTGGATCCCATCCCCTCCCCAAGCCACACCCCCCATATATACACAGACAGACAAACACATAAACCCACCGGGACAGTGGGTTCCAGGAGTACTTGATGGCTAATTAACATGAAATGTTTGAGCAAGCCACTTTGAATTTGTTCTGGTTTCTTCACCTTTCAGACAGGGTTATACTGGTTCCGTCCCTCACAGAGGGATGACAGGGAGTTCCATTATCCTACACCATTCATTCATTCATTCATTCATTCATTCATTCATTCAGAGCATATGAGCTAAACACGCCACATGCTCTGACATCAGGGACTAGACAGGGGATCCACAAACAGGGCTCTCTGAGAGTTGCCCCTTGCTCACTGTACTTCTTTAGGTTGGGAAGTATTTATGGGAGGAGTAAACAGATGCTAAGTCCCCATGGTTTGAATTGGAGCCTTATCATGTTGTGTTTGTAGTCTCAGCTGATCCTCTTGCCTCGGCCTTCTGAGGAGTGGAGACCACACGTATGTGCCAACAACCCCGGCTAAACCTTTTCAATTTTGTAATTAATTACTGTTGTGGGAAGGAGACTCAGAAGACAATCTTCAGAAGTTGGTTCTCTCCTACTACCATGTGGATTGCAAGGAATGAACTCAGGCAGTAAGGCTTGGTGGCAGGGCCTGCTGAGCCAGAGTTCCAGGTTATCCTGGCCCCTGTCCAGGCCCCAGCAAGACCTTGACTCAGAAAGATAAAACTCAAGGCAGGAGATATACCTCAGTTGGTAGCATTCTTGCCTAGTATGTGGGGGTCCTGGGTTCAATGTCAGGGTTGTATAAATCAAATATGATGGGGTATGCTCTTAACCCAGGCACGTGGGAGGTAGAGAGAGGCAGGAGGATCGACTGTTCATTCTTAGATACAAAACAAAATTGAACTGAGTGAATAAAATAAAAATTAATTCATTATACTTGTCAAAAAGTCAAGTCACACAGGTGTAACCTCAGAACCTGGGAAGCAGATCTCTGTGAGTTCAAGGCCAGCATGGACTACAGAACAGGTTCAGGCTACACAGTGAAGCTAGCCTTGCTAGTGCATATCAATAATGCCAGTGCTACTAGAGCAAGAGCGAAGGAAAGAGACGGGAGAATTAACTGGAAGCTCATAGGTCAGCTCAGCTGGAGTACACGGTACAGTGGCAGAAACAGGAGAGGCCCTGCCTCAAAACTCAGGTGAAAAGAGGCTACCAACTTCCAAAAAATTGTCCTTTGACCACACCCACCTGTTTATCCCTGCATTCATGTACATGCACGCATTCTCAGGAGTGCATGTGCGTACACACGCACGCGCGCACACACACACACCACAGACTAAAGTGTTTAAAAGAAAGAAAATATCACATTTGCCCTATTGATTTTTGAATGCTATATAAAGTCTACACTTATATTTATATGTATGTATGTGTAGAAACGTACATGTATGTGTAGAAACGTACATGTATATACACATGCGTAAGCTGATTAATGGTCTTATTCTCCTGGAAAGCAATAATGATGTTTGTAGTTAGTTTTTCTTTCTTCACATAAAGAAACTAGCCCCAAGTTAGCCCGAAATTTGCTGTGTAAATGGGGACCTTGACCTCTCCCAAGTACTGAGAGTACAGGGGTGTACTACCATGCCTGGCCGATGTCACCTTTCTTACACAATAGGATGCTGCGTCTTTGACCTTCCAGATTGACTTCCTAGAGCTGAGGATGCAGGCATAAACTCTCATATTTATCTCTAAGGTTTACTTTTATTCTTCTTCATGTGTTTGTGCACGTAAGTGTAGGTGCCCATAGGCCCGAAGCTTCAGATCTCCCTTGTCTGGACTCACAGGCAGTCGTGACAGTCTGACTTGGGTGCTGGGAACTGAACTCAGGTCCCCTGGAAGAGCAGCATTCACCTCTAAACCAACCCCCTGTTCAGTTCCACATCCTCCCTGAAATGGCCCCTTTTACTTAATGTTTTAGTTCCAAGATCCACCCTGTGCGGCGGGACCAGATCAGGCCTGTCCACTTGCAGCCTTCTGAGCCCAGTTACTAAAGAGAGGAGGCAGTGGAGCAAGGACAGTTTTATTTCCATTAGGCCAGCCAGACTGCTGGGGAGAGGACTTACCCACATCCTGACAACAGCTCAGGAACTGTACAACAAGAACAAAAGCCAGAAATCTGCATGTGCTCAGGATCTTCAGCTCTGGCTGGGCTGTAGCATCCTCATGGGTCTGTTGTAGGGACCCTACAGGGGTCCTGGTGCCATCTTCCTGCTGCTGAGGGAGGGGAGTCTTGCTCTTAGCACCCGATTGCTGTCAGGAAGCCTCGAGGGAGAAATGAGTTGGGGAACAGGCTAGAGGGACAAAGGCTAGATCCACCTTTCAATAGCTTGCTTTTATTTTGCTTTTTGGTTCTTGAGACAGGCTCACATATAGCCCAGGCTAGCCTTGATCTCTATATGTAACTGACTAACCTACTCTTACTCCTCCGTCTCCACCTTCCCAAGTGCTAAGATCATAGAGGTAAAGCTTTGTTTATTCTGGGGGGCTGGAGAGATGGCTCAGCATTTAGAATCCCATGCTGCCCTTGCCGAAGAGCTGAGTTTGGTTCCTAGCACCTATGTTTCACAGCTCACAACTGCCTGTAATTCCAGCTCAGAGAGGGTCTGACACATTGGCTTCTGAGGACACCTGCACACACATAATTAAAAATGAATTCTAAAGACAAAAATTTTTTTCTTAGACCTATCTCCAAGGTTGCATTTCCAGAGTCTCTCCTGTTTGGGGCATTGACTTTGTCCTCACTTTAACTCTCATCACTATGCAAGATGCTGCCCATGACCTGGCACCACGTCCACAGAGGACAATGTTGACAGTAGAGGAGCACTTCCCAGAAGCCTTCAGGAGAGGTCCTTCAAGACTCACTGGCCAGCAGTGGGTCCCAAATTCCTTCTGTGAGACCAACAACTAGGATCGTCACAGT